TTGTCATCATTGTCATTGTAGGTAGTTGTGGCTTGAGATGCTGGGGTGGATGGTGGCAACATTTCAGCCACAGCTGTCACATTTGAGAGGCCATGTGTCTCAAGGTGGTATATATGTACCTTTAGTTTACTTTATATCAAAGCCTTCGTGGCTCAGTTGGTTTGAGTGCCACTAATATTGACGAGGTTGAGGGTTCAATCTAAAATATATATTTTACTTAAATATAATAAGGACACTATAAATAGTGTATTCTAATGGTATAATGGTCATTAATGCCTTCCATGTGGACTGCTCCATGGAATCCAATGTGGATATGCCTGCATTCCATATGGAGTGATGTTGGAGTCCATATGGAATTAATCATTCCATGACCATTCCATAGTCATTCCATATGGAATCCATGATGTCTAGTATACTTTACACTCCTCCACATAGTCCAGTTGGACTCTGGCAGACTCCAGCTGGATTTCTGGTAGACTTGTTGCTAGTCTCCTTGGGTGCGAAAATGTGGAAACAAAAATGAGTGTTGAGAAGACCGTGACACGCGGGAGTGAGGAAAGTGCAATCGGATGTGCTGACAAAATGTGTGAACACCTAAGGCTCTGTTCGGCAACAAGAATACGTCTATATTCTCATTATGATGGCTGATGGTATTATTCCCACACACCCAAATCAGGTAGCTGCAGGCCTGCACTGATTTCATAGATAGTGAGGCCTTGTGCCTTGGGCGTGTTTATGGGGTTATAAACCTCATGAACCACATTCCGAGTTCTCACCTCTCCATACCACCTCCCACCAACTCGAAATCCCCACCATGGCTCCTTCCGCAATCTGGACCCCTGCAGAAGAAGAAGCCTTCGTCGAGTTCCTTCTCGACAATCTCGCCGATGCTGGAGATGGCAGCAACTTCAAGAAAGCCATGTTCCAAAAGGCTTTGAGCCACATTGCGCCCCTCCTTCAGTCCAGGGCTGTGAAGGGTGTTAAAAGTTGCCAAAACAAATGGGCAGCGGTAAGTGTTGCACAGTTTTCCATTTAGAACTCAATTTATCAAGATGCTACAGCTACGTAGGACATACAAGGTTGTTCGCGCCATCCAGGAGGTGTCCAGTTGGCACTGGGATGACCACACTGGTGCCAGTATCAATCCCGATACCGCCTCCTTGTGGGAGGACTACGTGAAGCAGCGGCACCCCGACGCAAAGCCGTTCCGTAACAATGGCTGGGTTCATCTCCAAAAGATGAGCCTCATCATGCCATCCTCTACCCCTGGCGCAAATGTATAGATACACACGAGCGTTTGGAATAGTGTTTAAAGGTTCAGTCCATAGGGCCGCAAAAAACCGGTGGACCGAACTGAACCGGACCATGGTCCGGTCTTTTTTTCGGTTGCAGTTGCCCCAATTTGGGGTTGGTCCGGTTGCCGGTTGCCTCATTTCGAAAATCTTTTAAAACCGTTCAAAGACCGGTTTTAATCGGTTGCAACCGGTTAAACGGTCACGTGCCTTACATAGCCTTGTAACCACGTTTATTACCTTTTATTGGGTTTTTGTTTCATCAAAAACAGTTAAGAATTGAGAAAGATATAACCAAATCCATATTTTACCTGAGTCTCTAGGAGATGTAATTCAGTTTCAGTCATAGCTATGTCAAATCTTCATTAAATCTCTTGAAAATTGGTAGAATGACGGGTATTTATATGCTTTACTATTTTATATAACCCGTTTATTTTTCAGAGTAATAATGGTTGAGATACAAACGGTTTATATTGGTATAATAAATTATACGCAAAAAAACCGGTCTGGATCGGTCTGAACTGGTATCATGGACCACAAAAGACCGGTCCTAGGTGGTTCGGTTCGGTTCCCTCAATATCTGGGTCGGTCCTGGACCGGTTGCGGTCCACGGTTGCGCGTTTTTGGGGCAAAAAACCGGACTGAACTGAACCTTTAAACACTAGTTTGGAAGCGGAGTGAGTGGGTGTGTCAGAATCACGAGGATGTTTGCAAGTTGCGACATCAGCTGCCGTCTCAGATGCCGAGGTGCTGGGTGGCTGAGGAGTGGTGGGTGGCTGAGGAGTGGTGGGTGGCTGAGTAGTGGTGGGTGGCTGAGTAGTGGTGGGTGTAGATGCACTTGGAGTCGAGGGTGGGGCCACCGTGGCGTGGTACAGGCGCAGAGGCACTTCTCAATATGTCAAACTCCCTTACTGGCCTTGGCACAGCGCTGACTGCCGCGCTTGCACCGCCTCCATCCACTGGCCTTCCACCCACTCCGTTGCGAAGGTCAAAGGCAATTGGGTTTGCTGTCCGTACTGAGAAGAGCTGGCTTTCCAATTCAGAATTAGTAGCTCTCATAGATTTCCTTAGGGCTGATCAAACCGCCGCTGATGTCTACATTGCCATAGAAGAGGAGGAGGTTCGCAAGGAGTGGGTTCGTATTCAGCTTGAGAGGCTCCACATCCACGTCTTTTAGATATTTTCACTACTACCTTTCGTTACATTAGTCAATCATTTATCCCCACCAGCAACCCACCAGTCATTTACATTTACAACAGTCATTTAATAAATTGTTTGTTTCAAGTCAAACATCTTCACAACTCCTCTTGATAATCTCTCCACATTTCTCCTGCAATTTGATCCCTGAGTTCACTCGCTCTTTCCTTTTCTGCCCGTGTAACAGCTCCATCTGCAAGTACACCAAACTCATTATCTCATACTTGACCTGGGTTGGGATCTAGATCCTGTTCATCATCTCCTGTTAAATATTCTTCAATGTTGGTCGGATCAACATCCATAATAAAATTGTGCGTTGCTGCAAGGCCAGGTGGAACCTTTGCCTGAACTGACATGCTGAATTGGGGTGGCCGAACCAGGATGGCCCAGCACTTTTTTAAGACACCAAAAATACGCTCAACTACATTCCGAAGAGATGCATGTCGAAGGTTGTAGAGTTCTTGTGGGGTTTCTGGTCTGTTAAATTCATGAATAAACATTATCCATTAACAATTGCCAGGAAGGACATATACCGTAGATTTGCATGGCCCCATTCTGCAAGGTGATATCGCACACCTCTATATGGAACAAGAAGAGAGTCACAAATACCAAAACCAGCATCAGCAAGGTACACTTTCCCCGGAGGTATGAACAAATCAACAAGTCGGGAGTGACCATACATTGCTGCATCTGCAGTAGATCCTTCCCATCCACTGAGAACATAGAGAAATCGCATTGAGAATGAGACACAGGCAAGACAGTTCTGTGAGACACCTCCTTTCCAGTTGTGTGATGCTTGCCGGTCTGCAGCAGAAGGACAACAATTGATGTGTGTTCCATCCATCACACCAATGGCATTGCGAAAATATGGAAAGAATTTGCTACTCTCACAAATGTATGCTGGAGTAGGATCTCCCTGGGGAGGAAGGTGGACATATTTTCGGTAGAATGGCCCAGATGACACGGCATCTAGAATGCGACGAAAATACCTGCAAAATATTTAAAACTCCATTATCTTAATCATAGTAACTCCTTACTTTGAGATTGTTTCATTTGATCTTTGAAAGTGCTCCCCAACATGTCGCACTGAAAGACCAGTGACACACATGTACAAGAATATTGCAGCTTGCTCTTCTAAACCAATATATCGAGAATCTTTGAGACCACAAACAACCCATAGCTCATGGACAAAAATAATGAATACATGAGCTCGCACCCCCAATTCAGTCCATATCCGATCTGGATGACCATGAACCAGCTCTTTGACCCAGGCTTCACCTGACAATGCTGATGTATGATAATCTTGCTTCCAGTAGAATGGGGAAGCATATAGGGTGGCTGCAACACCAATTACCTGTATCATGTAAGCAGCAGTTGCAATAAGCTGCCTATGCCGGAGATCTGGTGTTGGAGGCGGCATATTGTGGTGCAAAGCGCAAGATGATAAGCATTGATCAAGGATAATCAGCGTGAGGTAGCCTGCATGTGCCGCTGCTACCTAATTTAGGTATGTGGGAATAATACCATCAGCCATCATAATGAGAATATAGACGTATTCTCATTGCCGAACAGAGCCTAAACAACACACACACACACACTAACACCTTAAACACTTATCACCACAGGTACGTGTTTGGTGCTTTGAGTTCAGGTTCATATGGTAAACGGAATTACCACACTTGTTTTGTTAGAACTTAAGTAGAAGTCCGAGGAAACTGTCTTGTATATTTTATAACACTTGTCTAAGTCTAGTAGACCTTTTGGTACAAATGGTATTGTTTTTACATGCAGGCACAAGTATAGAATTCGAAACTTAATAGTTTGCGAAGGGAAACGGCTTTTGTTGGGACTATCTCGGTGTTCTGGGATTGCGTTCTGACTTTATATGAAGAAATAACATGTAACTCCCTTGAGCTTTTATTATGCCTCTGATTCGATCCAAACTAGTCTTAAAGACTCTTCAAGCACGCTCACTTGGATTCCTCAGAAGTAGTAGAGAGCTCTCTTACTGACTGACGAGACAACCTTACAAAAGCTTAGTGATCCCCACTTAACACGCTGGTTCCGGGCACACATTACTTATGTCTGCAAAGAAAAAGTCCTTTAATTGATTACAAACTTATCCACTACCTCAGATGCTACTGGGAGCGGGACAGCTGGTCAATGCAGGGGATAATTCCTTACGTTTCAGCCTGTGCGCATCCTCCTTTTATACTATTCTATGTTTTCTATTTATATTTACATGTCTGTGCGTTGTCCAAGAGGTCGGACGAATTAATACTGATTTTTAGTAAAGGTTTGAAGTGACTCAGTTGTGTGTAGCACAGCTGAGCTGACTTCTTTTAAGTTTTCATAGTGTTTTCTCTATTGTGGCAACACGACACATCAGTATTGATGCATATGCAGGAATTGCTGTAAATGGTTTTCACGATCGGTTCACCTGAGGCAAACAGTCCACTTAGTGATTTTCTGCCTATTATTAGATACTGCTCATGGGTCTTTGGACTGTGCGGCAAATCATTCATAGTTTTCTCTCTTGGGAGGAGGCTCTGGAATATTCTTCGAGGCTGAACACTCCTGGTTCAATGATACCATGATGTGTGATGCATTGATGCACATGATGCATATGATGTGTATCACCACATGACTTCTTTGATCATGCTTCATAGCACGTGACTAGTTGGCTTCTCGTGTCGGGAATGTGTCAGGCTATACACTTGTGTGTTACTCATCGAATTACATTGTTTAATCCATATTCGAAATAAACCCTGGTTTGGTGTAAGCTTCAACACCCTGTGCTGAGGTGTGTTTACTCTAGAACACCTTTATAGTGAACCATTTCATGGTAGTGTAGTCATTTTAATAGGCTTTGAGTATATTGAAGTGGCCCAGTCACGTGCCGACCACAATTCCTACTACCTTAAGATGCACACATTTCTTGGATGAAGACATTAATCAACTAGATTGGGCTGTATCTAATGATCCTTGTGATCAAAGTGATTGTATTTTCTTATAGTAGGTTTTATTAGAGAAAATGTGTAAATTCGCAATTTTATGGGTATATTCTTACACTCTGTATCATCTCCCCCTCACTATAATACTGACCATCCTCAGTCATCACTAGATCCCCACTTGAGGATGTTCCCCTCGTGTTTTCTGGATTTTACATAGGTATGTCTTTGAGAGTTCACCACCTGTCGAGCATGTCTTTTTCGTTCCTCGGAAAATGCCATGGCATTCCGTGAATTCCGTCAGCTTCCCATACAAAGTACACGACTTTTATGCAGGTAAGTTTGACTTTTCTTTCTAACTTCTTCCCTCACCATGTCTATTTCCTTTGTCGCAGGTCCCGCTGCCACTTGTGCTTGTCAGGTATTTCTGGCTAGCATGCCGCCTGGTCGTGATCCCTTTGCATCGGAGGACGAGTTTATTGCGGTGCTGAATGCAGTCCAGGACCATATGGTGAATTTTGTCTTTTTCTCTTAGGTTGTTTTTGTCTCTACCTTTTTATCTTAGTCTGATTTTCTTACGGAACTCATGGCTCGCGATGGTGGTCCCACTGAGCGTGAATCATGACTCCTCGCCTCGCTATACAATACATCCCAGAAGATTCCAGAGAACTGTTGGAGCTTCTGGTGGGGTGGCTGGCTGTGCCCTCCGATGGTCATTGTATTTATGATAAGGTGAGTGTTTCGACAACTTGTTTGTTCTTAGCACAAACAGTTGAGCCCAGACTTCCTGGTGAACATTGTACCACCTGAGGATGAAGACCCTGTTAGTGACCATGATGCGACACCACCAGCTCCAGCTCTACCAGAGGCTCTTGTAGTCGACGATCAAGAAGAGCGTGAACCGCTCTTCCTTCCTTCACCTTCACCTCCTTGTGATCTCAAATGGCTCTTCTGACACCTCAAACAGGTACCCATAGGGCTGGTAAGTTTTTCTTAAGTTTTTGCTTTCATGTTTACTAATCTTTTTGACTTTTTAGCCAGGAAAATGTCGTAAGATCATCGACAAGCCTGAGTTGGACAACAAATCCATGGATCTCCCTGACAAGTATTGAGAGAAGTCCCAGGAGTCTGTCGTCGTCGTCAACCTGCTGCCACGTTGTAACAAGGAGAAGGGCCGAGCCCCACCTTCTTCTACTCTGCGCCGTACATCTCAACATCTGGCCAAGGCCTTGTCTGTGGCACCAAAGGAACCTGTGGTTGAGGAACTACCTGTTCCTCTACCCAAGCATTGTGGTCATCCACCAAAACCTGGTAAGTCCTTTGCTTAGTTTTTTTTCATTCTTTATCATTCTAACTTAGTTGTCCTAGAACCTATCATCTTGAAGGATGAATTGGTTTTCGACAAGAAGAGATTCAGTAAGTATTTATTTTGACCTATCTGTCTTTCTAAGAACTTGCTGACTTCTCTTTTCAGAGCGCATTATCGAGTGTTTCAGGCTCGACAAGCTTCCATCCATGAAGAAGGCAGAAGACCCCATGCCCACTGTAAGTCTTTATATTTCTTTTGCTTCTTTTTATTGACACTAACATCTTACTTTACAGATGCCAGAACCATGTCTCCAGTGTTCCATTAGGAAAGCTTCCACTGTCGAGAACTGCTTGTTCTGGGGTTGGGGTGTTCCTTGCAGGCCATGTGATGTGTCGCACGTGTCTTCTTGTGAGTACTATCTCTCGGATGCACTTCAAGGCGCAGCCAGGGATACCATTTGCAAGAGGGTCTCTATTCATGCTCCTTCTGGTGAGCGATTTCTCTATTTTTAATTTTTTAGAGTCTTTTTATTGACTTTTTCATTTCTTTTAGCCCTTGCTGCCTTATTGGACTTGGTGAGACAGGACTCTCTCCACATGTGTATGCCTTCCGCAATGCTCGAATCCATCTGCCATCGCTGCAACCTCAATCTTAGGGAGTTCGCCAACACTCTTTATGAGCTTCAGTTCACTGGGGAGATCATGACTGAGTCTCTTCGGGACTCTTTTTGCAAATTGGGAGGAGGCAGGGGAGTGGCTTCATTTCGCCGACCCCTACATTTCAAATGGTCCAGTCATGACTCCAGGAGGATCTTGTCGCAGGGATTTGGAGGGCTTGGTTTCTCTTTTCAACCATGCCGACTCTCCTCCAGTGGCTGGTCCCTCATCTGGTATGCGTCAGGATGGATGGTATACACTTTTATGATAAAAACCAGACATATGCCTGGAGGGCAATGTGTATAATGCCTAGAGGTTCAATGAGATCGCATATCTCATTGTTCTAGGATATTTCATTGTGATTTTCATATGGACACCTGGCACTTTCAATATATATTTCATTCTCAACCCCAGGATATTTCATTGCAATTTTCATATGGATACCTAGTGCTTTCATTGGATATTTCATTGTTAGCCCCAGGATATTTCATTGTGCTTTTCATCTGAATGCCTGGTGCTTTCAATGGATATTTCATTGCACTTTTCATAGATATACAGTTGAGTGCAAAAAGAATGAAGGTTGGTTCATTTTTCTGGTTCTTTCTAAGAATCTATTGTACCTCAAATGTATTTGTGTATTCTTTTACATTATGTAGTTGTGTTACACTTCCCTTGGTATGGACTAATTTCAGTGAAAGCTGGAGCCTTGAGAAGGTTTTTATTCTGGAGGCCATTTTTGGCATCTGAAAAAAAAAATATGCGCTAACTGGAGAGGTAGCCAGAACATACCTCTGGTCAACCTGAATGAGCCTATCAAAGAATTAGTTAAAAATACTGAGTGGTTATGCTTGTAGAGCCTCCAGAAAATGGTCATTTTGTGCTATTTTGGTCATTTTTCAATACAATATTAATGAGATCACCTAGGCCATTTAATGAAAAAACAAAATGAAATACACAGGGAACTTAATGAATGAAAATACTAGACAAAATAATGAGTTGTCTCATTGAACCTCTAGGCATTATACACATCGCCTTCCAGGCATGTGTCTGGTTTTTATCATAAGAGTGTATACCACTAGTGGCGTCAGCATGCTCGTCCACGTACTGCTTCGCCTCCAATCTCAGTTCCATCCATCTCCACTCTGCCTGATTCTCAAAACACACCCCTGGCTGTAGTTGTTGCCCTAATCACCCACATTATTGCACTTAATCCCTTGCCATAAACCCTGCATTCTAGCTAGGGGTCTGCAGCATGCATTGGCACCCTGGGTTTGGCCTAGGATTTGTTGGGCAGGCTTTTGGTAAACTGCACAGTTCAAATTCTGAGGAGATATATATGTCCTACAGCTTTGTTTCTCCTAGAAAGAACACCTGAAAGTTTACCAAATATATATTTGATAATGTTCTGACACTTTTAAATAGTTTCCCTCTGTCAACTCTGACCAGAATAGGCTGGATGCAACAGATCTGTTTCGGATGACCTTGGGCCTTTTGATGCCTTTGGTACACAATTGTCAACAATGCATAGTTTTGATTCTGAAGAGATATTTATGCTTTACAACTTTGTTTCTCCTAGAAAGAAAATGTGAAACTTTACAAAATATATGTCTGATAATGTCCTGACACTCCTAGATAGTTTCCCCCCACCAAATTTGACCAAAATAGCTGGATGTGACATACCGATTTGGGGCCTTAGACGCTGTTGGTACACAAATGTAAACAACATGAAAAACTTTGGTAGCTACTCTACCACACAACATACAGGGAAAGGAGCAGTAAAAAGGGTCTAATACATAAATTGCTTGCTAATATACATATATACATCATGGAAAGAGACATCAGCTCTCAATGTTCAATGACCACCCGAAAAGGGAGTATGCTTTGCAGCCACCCATCCACCTGCCCTCTTCCAGCAATTGGTGCCATCCACATCCATTGCTTGCTGTCATGCGCAGTAAGATGTAATCAATTCTACTTTGATGTAATCATTCAAGGCAGTCTCAAGGATGCATTGACTGACAGTACAAGTTCAACTTCCCAGGTATTCTACCGATTGTCTTAGAGAGCAGGATTGTTTACATTCATTTTGTAAGTATAGGCATTTGAGATCCCTCCATAGTCCAAGTAACCTCGTTATTGATAAACACCATCAGTGATAACTTAAATAAATCCTATCCCACCATTCACCACCCTCAAATCCGGCACTTCAGCTCCCCACCAACCATCGCAATCGTAGCACCCAAACACCACCCCAACTCCGTCCCTCCAATCTTCTTCCCAATCGCCACCTCTCTCCCATCCTCAAACTCATACCCAAGCCTCAACAACGCATGCATGAACGTCAAATCAAGGCACCACTCTGGTCTATCCGCAAGTTCAGCCATAAGTTCGGAATCGGCAGCCCAGTGGTTCTGCAGCCATTCGTCGCGGCCTTGGCAGACTTGGCGTGCGGTGCTGGCGATGGTGGATACGGTTATGGGCGGGGAAGAGAGGAGGGGGGAGAGGCGGTCGTAGAAGTAGGAGAGGAGGAGGACTTTACCATTTGGAAAGGAGGAGAGGAGGGAGGGTTGGTAGACGCCGTTGAAGGAGCATGGTTTTAGTTCGCATATTCTGTGTGTGCATGTGTATTAGTAGGGAACTTCATGGAAAGAAAAGAGCAGGGGCAGAAAAGAAGGCAGGGGGACGAGTGTGAGGATGAGAGGATGACAGAGATGGAGAAAAAAAGATAGAAGAAAAAGAGAGGAAGAGGAGGAGGAGGAAAAGGAAGGAGGAGAAACGGACGTACGCGTCCTTTGCCAATACGAGTTGCACCACCCGATCACATGCCTCAAAAGACCCAATGTCCCCCCCATCCATCGTCACCTTCCTCTCCACACCCGTCACTTCATCCTTAACAGTCACCACCCTCCTTGTCCCCTTCGCAAGACACGGATTCCCCACCACCGCCTTCGGCTTCGAACCCTGCAACGTCGACATGAAATCCACCAATCTATGAACGTGTCTCCGTGCACGCATCAACCCATACCCCAAATACGAATGTTGGTACAGCACATGATTCCGGCCACCGAACTGTAGATCGTATTTATGTTCTCCTTCCTCGAGCTGCATATCCGAGGACGCGAAGACAGGCTCGAATACGATTTGCGTAGACGCGCCGCCGAGGTCGAGGACGGCGTAGGTGGGTGTATCGGGGGGTGTGGAGGCTTTGATGGTACCCAAGAGGTAATTGGCCGTTATCCACGCGTATACGCCTTCGTCTTTTCCATCCATAATCACCACCCCGTCTTTCTCTTGTAATTGGAAAGGATAAGAGGAACGTATCCTCCCTTCCACAGCACTCAAAATATCAGCGCTCTGCGAACCAGGCAACAAACGAAGTCCAGCGGTAGCTTTGACAGCCACCGGCGTACACCCATGCAAGGCCTTAGGCACCACGCGGACAGCTTCGTCCAAAAGGACGTCCAAGCTCCTCGCAGCGCCTTCTGGGTTCCCAGCAAACGAGGACAAGCCAGGTTGTGTCATTTTGAATACTTCGTATTCGTATTCGGGGGAAGGACCACAGTTGTTGAATTTGTAAACGTGGATCCTGGAACCGGTTGAGCCTGCGTCGATCATTAGTGCGTATTGCACCAGAGTACGGGAGGAGTGGGGTTGGGTACAGTGTGTCGTTGATGAGGGGTCTGGATCAGTTTCGTATGTGTCTGGATGGTTTATGGGTGGTTTTGAAGCAGAGACGACGGGTGGATGGTGTTGTTGTGATTGGGTTTGCTGGTGGTGCGTTTTTGAAGGGGACGGCGCTGTGTCGGTTTGGTTTCCTTTTTTCGTAATCTTTTCGTCAGTTTCTAGAAAGAAAGATAATGAAACTTACCTTCCACTTCTAAATCGACGTACCCATTCCCTCGCCAGGAGAATGTATGCGCCCTCGGCCCAAAAAGCCACACAACTCCAACGAGGAGCACAGCGCCCACAGCGAACTTCTTCCACGCGAACCTCTTCGTCCCTCCGACTCTACTCGGCCCCATTCCGCCTTCTAGTCGGTCGTAGTTGCTGCTCCGGGGAGATAGGATTGCCATGAGGTATCGTGAACGAGAGGCGAGGTTGTTGTTGGTATTGTTGACAATTGCGAATCCGGTGGTTGTGGCTTTGGAATTGGGGTTGAGTGAGTTTGTGGTTGAAGGCTTTTCGCTGTCCAGCATACGATGGAGAGGAACCGCGAGAAAGAGCCCACCTCCTAAGCGGAATGGGAATGGGGAAAAAGGAGAGGAGGGAACGTGGTGCTAAAACATCCGATCAGTATTTGTTGTCGCCTAAACTTTATCTTGTCCTCCATGCGTTTTACATTTTCTTGTTCTTGACACTGCCCACGTTCTCTCCCTTGGCTACGGACATTGGATAGCGTTTTGGTGACAAAGACAGACTACTATAGCGAACAATACAGTCTCGACTCGAGACATTTATGTATATTCTTCTTCCTTGCACCAAACTGTGTCTCTCTTCTTTTGTCGCATTAACGTCTGAACGCTTTCAATCACCCAGGTACGGGAGTCCAGAGAGGGATTAAATGCGACATCAACGACTTAATGCGACACTATCACAACTGTTCCGTACAATCACACTTGACGAACACGCATAGATCCACACAAATTCAACTCGAGGTCAAAGCGAGAGCAACGCGTGGGCTTCGGGCGCGCAGATATCAGGACAGAACTACAGCGGCTATGGGTTCAAGATTCAGCATCCCGCTCATAGCGGGTCGCACCTACAGCCATGTCACCGCTAGATTTGAATGACCAGTCGAAGATTCTCTTCTTCCCTTTTCCCGCCTGCTTCAGAGATCCAGCTTGACTTAGAGAAGTTAGAACGATAGGGGACTGATGTCGTTTCCCTTGCCACTTTGGAAGTGACCAAAACTACGGCGATGGCGAAAAACACTGGTTTAGCATTCAAAATTCATCGCAACGAAAGCCAGTCCGCGCCGACGACCATGCATACCTCACGGTCATCACCAGACTAGGGTTGGAGATGAGCGAGATCACCTCGAGCTATCAATGGTAAGTTAAGATCAATGTCCCCTTAATCCACGAACTGAACACGATAGAAGTTTGACGTGACGCTTGACGGAAAGAATAATATGACTCATAAAAGCTGGTAGGTGCCGGAGAGAAAAGGCCAGTATCATCTTTGTCATTCCCCAGTTATGTCGAATGTTTATTTGTCGAATTTCATTTTTAGCAGCAAGATACGCTGCTTCTTTCAGGCCCGCGCTACTTGGCGTGGTGTAAATTTGCACTCCTCGACATCTTCATACATGAAGATGACCACGGACCTCAATTCACCCAGACGAGCCAATGTCCGACTCGGATTTTCACTGAGCATCAACGCCTCCAGCGTCAAACAAAAAGTGTACCTTTTCTCCTGATGTTGAGTCAACGTCTCTTTTGCCCCCTCGCCACTTGGTACTGCATGAGTACTACGTGGACCAGTCGAGGCTTCCGAGCCGGCTGCAGGTGCAAGTGAGACGATTTTACAACAATAACAATTTGATGTACTTTTGACGTTGGAATACAGTGAACGTCAACTCACAGCCTCTCCCAGTCGAAGCAGGTGGCTACACCGCTTACGTTGCAATGATGCAGCCATCAGTTGTAGCCAAGAGCTATGAACCTTTCGAATCCACATATGTCTAAATTGATTCGGGAAGAAAACTCTGCGCTCTCTTTCGATCAACTCGGAGTGCAACAGGCAGAGCTGATTGAGTTTGTAGTTGAAATCTTTTCGCTGTCCAGGATACGATGGAGTGGAGCCTTGAGTGGAGCCACGAGAAAGAGCCCACCAAGTTGTAAGTAAGCAAAATGGGAATGGGGAGGGGAAATGTTTACTAAAAGCTCCGATCAAATTTTGTTGGCGTCTAATCACAGCATTCAAGTTTTCGTTTTTTCCCACGTTCACTCTCTTCGATACGGACATACATAGAATATTGCGGCAGACCCCCGTTTGGGTTAGAAAGGCAGACTAGAGCGAAGTGTTCATCCGCTGTCCCGACTCGAGACATTTATGTATGTTCTTCTTCTGTCACGATGATGTCCGTCAGAGTCAATTGCCAGCCAAGCGGCGACTTCCTTCTCCTCAACTTTGTTTCTCTCGTTCATGCGTATACACCCTACTAAAGTCAGAACGCTTCCAATCATTCAGGTACACGGGTGTCCAACGAGAAACCTCAACAACTAATTACGGTATGACCATCCCTCCAACTGCTCCGTCCCTCCCACGCGAGGAATACACATGCGTTCACAAAATCTCACGTCGAGGTCGAGCTAGAACGACGCTCGGGCCTGGGACGCGCAGGTGAAAACTACTGGCTTTCAAGCTCCCCATTCCGTTCATTTGTCAAAGGTCCAGCTTGACATAGAGAAGTTAAAACGACAGGGGACTAGTCTCGTTTTCGATTGTAAACAAAACGACAAGCACCGATTTAGCATTCAAATTTTATCCTGCTAAACACGGATCGGGTGACCATCGTAACGAAAGCCAGTCCGCGCTGACGCGTATGCTTGCCTCGCCGTCACCACCAACATTACAACATTGAACAAGTCACCGAGTGGGTTGAAGATAGGCCTGATCACCTCGAGCTACGAATGGTGAGTTAAGATCAACGTCCCTCAATCACTAACTAAACCCCGTAGAAGTTTGACATGATATTTGAGGGAAAGAATATGGAATGGCTCGTGAGAGCTAGTCGGCGGGGCCGGAGAGGGTTGGATCTATACCAAAAGGCGAGTACCTCAAGCCCGCGCCACTTGGCGTCGTTTAAATTTGCACACCTCAGCATGTTCGTACATGACGACGGTCACGGACACCAATACACCTTTTCTGGATCGTTTCCAATGTCCGCCAACAGTCAAGTCTCAAGACAAGGTCATGGCGCCAGTTATACAAGGATTCTTTGGCCATCTTTGTTTCAACGTCAGATTCACCACCCATCAACGTTCCCGGCGAGATTCGCTGGTCTGTCCTGATCTGGAATTCAAACATCCGCAGACAATCACCGAGCATCTATGGCTAATATTCAGCTGCCAGAATCTCATAGAGAACTGGCTGATCTTCGAAGGAAAACCGACGATATCAACTGAATTGATGGATGTTTTCATACTTTTTCGATCTCTTCCATGGACGTACATCCCACACAACCAAGAGCCGACTCATTCATCACTCAGTATTCCGGCGGGAAACCAACGCAAAGTATGCCGTTAACATTTTAATTCGTGGAAGGCTCAACAATCGGAATTGTTTCGCAAGTATTAGGCCCGGGATCATCGTACGAGCTCAGGTTACAGACGCCAACCACTCGCGTACTACACTTCCTTCGTTGAATCTCTCAAGGTCCTTTGCAATCAAGTCCTTGAACTCAACCAACCTGATTAGCATCTTAACCTTTTCTTCGCCTAAAACTCGCCGTGCTTCAAGAAACGCCTCCGCCTCCTGATCAAAACGTGTCAGCTCCTTCTTCAATATACCATTTTCCAACAAGGCATCGAAATAGCTGTACGAGAAATCCCCGTACTCGCCTAACACATGCTTGACTAGCAGCGGAAAAAGTGGGGCATACATTTCCCTAGGGAACTGCATCACCTGTTGGAAGAGATAGACGCCATAACTCTCAGAGATCAGGCGTGAAAGTGGCGCACCGCCAACTCGGGCAGATGTGCGCTCCTCTTCGAAAAGGATCTCGTCGAAGGTGGCCTGATCTCGCACGTTTCTCTCGCGCAGCGGGTGGTCTTCGTCCCACCAAGGGTGATCAACGATGAAGAATGGGTATTGCCCAAACGTCGACACGTATTCCGTACCGGAGAACTCCCAGTCGATGACAGCGCTAAGGCGGGGATGGGTGTCCAGGTCGGTGAACATGATATTTTGGGAGTGAAAATCACCATGGGTGAGGGGATGTCCGTGGGCATCGTTGGAGGGATCGAATAAGGCAGGAACGAGAGAGCGCATGAACCATCCATGTGCATAGCTGTATTCTTTGGCTTTATAGCCAAACCTCGTCTCGCATTCATTGCGAAGGTAAGCATTGGAGTAAGCTAGCCAATAATCCGCGGCGTGGGGAAACGACGTGGTCAAAAGGTTGTATTGACATTCGATGGTGTCGGTCGGGTTTTTGAGAACCGTGGACGATTCAATATACCATGGATCCTTCCCCCCACCCCTCTCAGGACGCTTGAAAAGCGCACCAACCTTATCGAAGCGATGCGACCATAGCTCAAGGAGGACGCCAATGACTTGACGGAGTACGATGCGCCGCTTTTCGTCGTCCATGTCGTCCCACACTGAAGCAAGCGGCGTGCCTTCCACTTTGGTCATGAGGATGTAAGGCGACCGAACATCTCCGCCAGCATCAACGCTGTAATGACAGACGTGGGGCAGTGGGATGTTGGTATACCTTTCAACATACTCCATTGTCGCCACTTCGCTCTCGATGCGTTTCGGAATGGAGGTGTCTAGGCCTTCCTCATCACGCAGCGGCACGCGGGCAATAAGAGTGGTATTTTGGGAGTCGTGCAGGTGGAGGAAACGGATGAGGTTATAACCCCCGGACTTTTGGGCTCCCCAATGTGAAGAATCAACCTGGAAGTGCTTGCATGCGAGAGAAGAAAGGGCGTCCCAGTTTACAACGTCAAAGGTCATCTTGATGCGTGGATCGGTGTGAAAACAAGTGCTGGAGGCTGAGGAGGACATGATGACTTTGTTTGCCATTTGAGGTAGCTGAGTACTCTTAATTAAACCGACACTCCATTATTCCCGTTTTAGATTGTAGCGGAAAATTTTGCAACCTTGTTCAATTCCGGGTACTCGAGGCGAGAGGTCGAGAATAACGCGTCTATGGCCCGTCGTCGCGGTAGATGTGTCAGCTGCATCGGACCTAGTGCACTCGGGAAAGATTGCTGCTTCAGACACGTTGGAATTTGGTGTGACGCGCTTCAAGTAAACTTGAACATGAAGACATGTATTTGCAATTTTTTGAAGGGAGGATGACAGTCAATTAAAAATGTGGATGTTCTACTCTAGTATATGTAATGATTTGGCCAAGTTTGGGCCAGGTCAACTCTGGTACAACTTTTAGGGTGTTTACTTTGACGGTTGACCTGACAGGCCCGGATTGCATTCCTTTTGGCGCTTGCACAAATAACGACGTGTCAGATTTGGTAATTCTTGTTGTTGACACTCAGTCTTCTTTCACCATCATGTTCAATCTCGAGAGCGCGCTAGTATCACAACATAGCGTCTTTTCAAAACCAAATAAGTGGAAGGGGCTGCGCGAATTCACATATTGCAGAATTTGAAGATACACTACCGTGTTTGTTAGGTTTCAACTTTGCAGGCAGGTGAGGTCGGATTCCCGGACCTGTGTTGCTTGTGTGTTGCGCCTCGAGCTCCAGCGGCGTCCTGCCCGGAAGTCGATCAAATAGAGCCGTTGTGTGGATGTGTGACATGACTTTGCCTCATTCCCAATCGATGACACTGAACTTCCACATTTCTGACACGTACCGTTGGAGATTTTTTTTCCATCTAACTACTTCGAGCCTTCTGATGTGTCTTTTCACTTGCTTTTCACCCTCTAGTCACGAGCGCGTCAAAAAGAAAAATGGTTTTTCCGATTCGTCTGATATCCCCGGATGTTCACCCAGCGGGCCAAACGAGCGCTGAGCGAAGAGTGTCCGAGTTTCACTGGGCATTAACGCCATCACCCTAAACCAAAAAAGTGTGTTTTCTTTTCCCTGCCTCTCGGTTATTGCAGGAAAGAAGTTCCGGATACCCCTAGATGTTCACCCAGACCAGCGCTGAGTGGATGTCCGAGTTTCATTGGCATCAACGCCATCACCCTAAACCAAAAAAGTGTATTTGTTTTCCCTCCCTGGTCTTTGCAGCAGGAAAGAATTTCTGGAATCCGGATATCCACCCCGACCAGCGCTGAGGGGGACTGGGGACCCACAGTAATTTCAAGCCCGCTCCCGCTGACAATCAGGATTCAGGGAAACCTTGGTCGCGTCTGGAGGTATAAATGCAGTGAGCAGCATCCTAATCAAACCAGACTGCCTGGTGCATCCTCCTCACTCACACTACTTCCGTTCAACGGTAACTACCTTCTTTCTCGTTGGTCATCTACTCATTTTTAACGATTACTCTGTTGGAATAGTCAGCTTATAGGGCCGGTCCCTTTACATCTCACCCACTTCGCTCAAATAACCTCAACATCATGCGTTTATCATCTACTTTCGCCTTTATTACACTGGTTCTTGCCACCACCTCAATGGCCCTTCCCCGGCATGCAAGTCATTGCTAATCATCTGGAAAGCACCCTCTCATAATATTCTTATAGGGAAAAGGAACTGGTGGCACAGTAATGGGAGTCGGACCATGGCCGTCACCTCCAGCGGGGCCTCCGCCGCCTCCGCCTCCTCCGCCAGGGGTACGTTTTCCTACTGAAGGCTTATTAATAATGCTAATAGTTCATTCGATAGCCCTCAAATCCCAAGGTATGTTGTTGTGCGGATGAACAAGTTGGGTCGGGTGCTAACAATCTCTGCCGCTGACAGCGCATAGGGAGGAGGGCCATCAAAGGTCAACCTAGAGCTGGCCCACGCAAAGTTAACATGGCAGGTGCGCCAGCTCTTGACCCGGAAGACATCCATGACATAGTAATGGCACCATGGCCGTCACCACCTCCCCAGCCAGTACGTTTTCTTATTAGATATGCTTATGAATAACGCTAACAGTACATTTACTAATAGCCCTCAAGGTCTGGGCGTAAGGTATGTTGTTGTGTGGATGAACTTGAGTCGGATGCTAACAATCTCTGTCACTGGCAGCGCATCCGGAGGACGGCCATCGAAGTCGTTTGATCTGATGGTCAGTGATATTTGAAGGACAATTGAAAAAGGGGTGGTTAGACATAGGTGCAATGTTATTATTGTAGATTCTGGGAATGCTGAGATGCGATGTCGTTGTACTGCAGTCACGAGATGGGTGATTTCGAAACGTTTGTTTGAATGTCCAAGACAGATATGTACAAAACAGAGAACGCAACCAACAGACATGGTTCCGTCTTTGATTAAAGTCGGCAAGAGGCAGTCCTGTATTCACAGACGGGACGTCCTCGGAACGGATATGCTTCCCAGGATGAACCATTATGAACATCACCATCGATTGTATGACCATCGCGCCGTCAAAAATGTCTTGAAGCGAAGGGTCAGCATGTCGGAGAAGACATGTGAATGGAGGCGACGAACTGAATAACATTTCTTGGTGCATGGCTTTGCTATTCCAGCCACCGGCAAGTGCAATGAGTCGATACACAACTCTGGGTAAAGTTAGATTCAGGGGAGAAGGGTATTCTCTGCAATGCGCTCACCGAATAGTCAGGCAAAGCATAGCGACGGCCAGTGCGAGATTAGTGAATTTGATTCCTTTACTGAATTGTCCTCGATGGAAGTCCTTGCTTGAATTTACTGGCGCGTCTTTTGAGTATCGGTACGAAAACTCTAACGCGAAGATAGAGAACGCGAGTAAAGTGGCTATTGACGAGATGATTTAAACAACTACATCAAACGCTCAAGGTTATAGAACTCACCGAACTGTATGCTAAAACCAATAAGCATGATGCGACTTCCCTGCTTCGAGGGTTAGCTCCAACAACTAGACATACATCACTGTCGTCTCACCAAATCTGGCTTAGCATTCCGCCTCGACGCCAGCATTCCACCTGTCGTTTGTAAGAGCGCGGAGAGGGTATCCTATATGATTGCGCTTTAATTACGCGCTGGTACGTTGATCCGAGACACCACCACTCACGCAAGCGGTGAAAATGAGAGAGTCTGAAAGTTCATTCAGTTGACATTCGCATCTCCAAAAGTGGTACCCACATCGCGTTGGATTGAGCCGACTATACTTAGGACCAAGAATTTGAACAACCCGTCCGAAGATTATATAGATCGCGCCGAGCAGATGAGTCGGTCCAAGTATTAAGGTCGCGAGTCTAGGGTTGGTAGATGATCAGGATCAATCCGCGTGCGATGTTATTCATAACTCACTGTGTGATGTATGGAAGATACAGAGTCGGTTTGTGGTGTGACCACAGCCGAGCACCCCACCAACAAGTTCAAGGGACACGCACATTGCCACCGTCGGTAGCAGGAACCACGTGCGATGGCGGATGCTCAGGAAAAGGTGGATCACTAAAGAAGAAATAAGCATCGATGCCGAGGAACGAGCCCCAAAACATACCGAGAATTGAGCCAAAGGCAAACAACATTGAATAAGCCACATATGTTCCTGGGATATAACCATATGGAACTTGGGATAGGTCAACCGCTAGATAGAAAGTATAGAGACTGAGCATCGTCGACTCAGAACATCGAAAAAAAAGGCCTTACTCGTACTTGACATGGAGGGCGCGAAATATGTGCTGGCGGAATCGAGGATGAAGCAAAACACACACGAGAACTTGAATGGGGCGAAGGACGTTTATGGAATGATGGTCCGTCTCAAAAACCATGGCTTTTAAGAGGACACTTCGATCCACATCCCTGGAAAAGAAACCGCAGTGCTTCATTCTGTCGACAAGTCAAGCTTTCTCAAACTGGCGTAAGGGATACGGTGCCCGGACGAACCCAATCATGATTTATCTCGTAAATCCTTGCTCGGGCCAAGGGCGTTTGGAGCGATGTGTCAAGGATTTGTCTTCGGACCCCGTTGATAGGGGAGTTGCACTGTTTCCCCGCGGGCCTCTATCGTTCCTTACGTCCTCCAGAATGAGTAGAGGGAGGGCTGTGTGGTCGAACTTTGAAGTGTCATCATGATCGCGTCATGAAAGAGGGGAGCGTGGAAGTGATTGCAGCCTCGCGGGCCGAAAGTCGGGAAAGACGCCAATAAAAGTGGTTGTGTACTCCTCTTCAAAACGCCGTTATCGCTGTACTTGGGAGGCTCGTCTTTACGGTCCCGTCGAAAGGGCGCCAGAGAAACTTGAATTTTAAAGTTGATGTTGATGCATTGATGGACCACGCACACGTGACGGTACTACTATGCCCAAAATAGAAATCGGTTCTTATCCCCGCCCTTCGGCCTAAAAAAGCGCCACCAAATGACTCGGGCCCGCCAAGTTCCCCGCCCAGATGACTCATGCGCGTCGGTCCCGTATGGTTTATAAAGCCCCATGAGGTTCTCAGTGCCCTTTTTGCTCATCCATTGGCTGGTTTTCCCATCCCCTCGTTTTTTCCCCCGCCCCGCCTCCTTGAGGCTCACAAAACTCTTGCAGCTCCTGCCGCCACCTTGGTGTGTTTTTTAACTCCTTCTTGTGGTTATTAGCGCTTCAACAGCTTTTTGACAAGATTACGTGTCCGTTTGTGACTCCTTCCGGTCTTATTCCTTGTGGATACAAAAGCTTTTGCGCGCTGATTTTTTCTTCTGCCTTTCTTCCTCTCTTTATCCTCCCTTGACTGGCGGACGAGTTAGGCTCGGCGCCAGCCATCTCTCCGCATTCTCTGCTTCGTTTTGGTTGACGTTGCAGAGAATGTAGAGAATAGCCCGGTGATTTCACTTCATGTGTTGCCTCAAGCCAAGGTTAGGCGACCATGCTAGTCTTTGCTTTATTCTTTCTTTCCGTCATACGTTCAGCCTCCTCTCGCTACGAAGAATTCGACTTGGCGCCGTGGCAGTTTTCCTTGTTGGTCTGTCCCAGTTTTTTATGTCGAAGCATATGCGAGTATTGGTATGACTCTTTCCCAGTCAGTCTTAATTTTATCAAGCCCGTCTCCCTTCCCTTACTTCCCCTTTCTCTTCTTGCTCGTCGCGAATACTACTGTACCATTTCGATTGAAATGGTGCAGTAATATTCTCCTCCCTGTTTCGCTGGCGAAGAAATCATTTCCATTCACAATTTTCGCGTTCTGTCCAAGGACAACGAGGACGTGAAAATTTTGTTTTACCTTCCGAATTTTTGGTCCGACAAGAATGTCATGCGGATTCTTCGACGATTAATTTTCGAATTTCGGGTGACTTGACGTCTCTCATGACCCTTCCTTATCATCCGTTTCTGCTCCGGAAGCGACTCCGCCTCAAATAAAATATTCTTGGTCTATGTGACATCTAGGATATGCTTTAGCTCGTTTCATTCCCCCCAACGGGGCTCCAAACGTTGAATAAATTTCGCAATGTCCAGTCGCCAACGACAACGTCTGTTCATTTCATTGAGAATGATCTCATACTCCAATCTCGAATCGGTACACTACTCCATCGTCTCACGAAGGCCGACCTAGGCAATCTACATCGCACGGTCACTCTAATTTTCCTTCATTCCCACCACGGCGAAGCTGCACCGTGCTTTGAAAACAGCCTCCTACATTCGCCATTCGATTTTGGGAAGCTTACGTCGCTTCTCGGCACGCTGACGATATTTTGGGTGCAACGGAGGAGAGTTTTATCGACAATTCACTCCAAGAGATTAATGTCTGCGCTTGACAAGCTGATAAGGTATTGCGTTTACTAGAAACGCAGTCCCTTCTACGGTTTGCAGTTGTAGGCCTGCGGATGTGTGTGCTGCGACGACGATACTTCGAGTTTGCCTGCGGCTACGTGTACGACTACGACTTCAATTGGGTCTCCTGCTTTGCCAATGACGTCTTCCTTTCATTGGTCAGACCTGAGATGCTTATCCGGAAACGACGCGCGTCCTCCCTCGCCTCGCTATCTATGATTATCAATCACTTCCGGAGGGGTTCCGTGGAAGCCTGTGGAAGCGCCCAGCGCTTACAGTGTTTTGCATGTGAGATTGGAATCCAAATCTCACGAAAACTTGTTTGTTCTTGTATTAGTTGTAATGTGTGATGTTGCCTTCCTCGGTGTCACAGCGTTGAACGTTGAACTTCCTCTGCCAGAGCGCTCTTAGTGAAGGTCACGGGTAGCCGATAAAGGATCTAGTCTTCCAACTAGATCCTTATTTCTTCAAGTGGAGGAGTCCCCTCCCTTGGAACTTGGTTGGAACCCGCATTTACGTCGATGATTGAATGTTGATTCTACTATATATGGTCAGGATATGCGTGGTATCAAGATATGCGGATTTCACTTTTCGTGTCCTTCCCTTACTCCTGCTCTTTGAAGAAAATTCACCTATGTTGAGCTAGTGTATTAAATACTGCTTGCAGAGTTCTGACAGGATTCATGGAGCGTACGAAGTGTGATAAGCCAGAGAGTGAGATTTTGGATAGGTGTATGAAGCTTTGGCTGCCAGGAACACCTGCTGTGCTAGGCTTACTCCTAATTTTTTTCCATAGATACTGTCTAATACCAACACCAAGTACACCTTCAAAATTTCAGGCAAGTAGGACCAGCGGAAGTCATCAGAATTGATTTTGAGGACGAAGTGCTTGTGCTTGGGAGACTGTTACATTGACCAAAATCCCTCAGTGACATGGTTGTGACATACCTTTGCATATCTTGTTTTTTTGCCTCCTCACGTTGGCAACGCTCTGAGGCTACAACACATCTTCCAAAAATTGTCAAAAATTTTGGGAGCATGTAACATTGTATCTAATAGACTCATGTAAGTTTTCCAGGCTGCACGATATGATGT